GAAGGAAAGTAGGACATTTTACATAATATTTAAGAGGGTTGAAAACAGCTTTTTAATAAATGTTCTGTCAATCAACTAACCTATTAGTTGACTTAACATTGCAACACTAGTCATTATCATGATCAAATTTTATTTTTGGTACACCCTCAAACGTCAAGCTTATCTCCTTCACACACCCTCCCACACCCAAAGCTCAAGCACAGAACACACAGAACATATGAGAATACCCTGGAAAGGCTCTCTGAAACACGGTCTTATATTGTAAAAGAACTTCAGAGTCAGACACAGCCCTATTCCTTTTGATGGCTATAAAACAAACGTCAAAACATGTTGGAAGTTTTTTTGTAGCCCAAAAAAAAAAAGTAGATTAAACTTTTTTTAAATCCCATGCATGTTCAAAGAATGTTAAATGTGTCAATAAGGTTTATAAAGTTAGGCTCAAATTGCATTACATTTTGACATCATTTTCCATTAACCTTTTCTTTTGCATGTATGAAATGGAGTGAGCCCCAGCTTGAGCTCTGTCTCTGCCTCAGGTAAAGTATCAGTAATTGCATTGACTGGCAGACAGAGGCCTGGATCTCTCTGCTAAAAAGAGCAGCAGCGTCTCCCCTGAGGGTTGAATGAAGTGTTTCTAATCTCATTTTGTCCATCACTGCTGCTTCCATGTTTTACACATTCATTTACAACCTTTTTGAGTTACATGACATTGGCACAAGTCATGATCCCTGGGAGGTTAAAGTCCCCCCAGGATGCACTTATCTGTGTTTTCCCTAAGTTTGGAAGTTAGTCTCAATATCCTGTCAGCTTTGTAAACATGTTATAATTCAAATCCACTGATATATCAATCCCAATCATCTGCTACTGCATTATTAGAAAGCCTAGCATTTACAGAAAACATTGGCAGGGTGATTTATATCATCTGATAATATCACGTTAATGTGTTTGACCCAGATGCTTAAAATGGTTTGACCACAGCGTTGGTGAGCCTGCATCTGCTGAGTGAGAGTTCTGTGTGATTGACCGGATATAACCCCAATGAATTAATTCCCATAATGTGTTGTAATTTATTGTCAGTTGACAGTGGCAGCCAAGTGCTTAAGCCAGATGACAACCCAGAGTGATTGATTTGATCAATAGAAGAAGCCCCTCAGCCTGCTGCCAGCACCTGACTCATTATAATGATAATGCTTTCCACAGCTGAAGTGAATCCATTTATTGACAACGGGGGATCAATACTATTAAAGAGATACTTGGCAATGCATCTGAACTGTCAGTTGTGGTTGTCAGAGAAGGGATGAAATGTATGAGGATCTCGAGTCAGCGTCCTGATATGCAAAGAAATAGTGCCACCTCATGTGACCTCACCTCTCCTGTTAAACGCCGCACAGCACAACGATTAGAGGCAACATCAAAGTGACTGTGACATGAAGTTAAGATTCGGGACAGTCTCCCACTGTGAGGAAATGAAAGTTATCATAAAAATCATAGGAAGGCAAAAACACAAAACATATACACAATGATTAGTCAGTCGGCTCTGACTAATAACTGACAACTATGCTGTAAAATGTTTCCCTTCCTTGCAAGGGAATTTCTGTCTTGTCAGTGACCTGTAACACAACTCTTTCACCAACTGCCTCGAATACCATAAAGTGCCGCGCAAAACCATGAGAAGAGCCACGCGACCCCGGGGTCAACTGACGGCTTGTTTCTTAATAGATGCTTGGGGAAATGTTCATTGTCATGCAAACCAGTATTGATGGCATGAGCACTATTGTGTGTTTAATTACATTTTATTTAAAAGTATAAGTTTGGGTTTGACTTTTATGAAAACAAGATAATCTCAGTTTCTTCTTTTTTTTTCAAGCTGTTTCAGTTGAATTTAATTTTAAAGTAATGGTTTTAATCAGTTGTAATCTCAATATTGACTATTTTTGCCACAGCCCTAAGGATCAAGATAGTGGAGTCAATTTTGCCATACAGTTTGATAAAATCCACTCTTGAAAGCAACACTTGGCAACCTGAGCATGTGCAAACATACCGAACACCTGTTTGTATTTGAACATGACACGCAAGACCGAGCACATATTAATGGATTTATTAAAGAAGACATTTTTAAAATGGAACACCATGTACCTGTCAGAGGTAACTGGATGAGTAGAAAACGGATTTTTCTGAATAATTCTGAGGACACCAGAAGTCAAGATGAAGACACATTACACCGATATTGATGGAGACAGGCAGCACTGACCTCATTTAGACTAATGGGTAAGATGCAGAGCTCCTGAACATGATTTAGTGTGGTTCACAAGGCCGCCGGCGTAATGAGTAACTTACTGCTTTTAGGACAGAAATCATGTCATCACATTCCAGAGATACCCAGGACCCCTGCAGCATGAATCAGCTTTGAAGTTAAGAATACTGACCACAAAATGTGACAGTTGGCAGGTAGCCCAGCAGCAGGAATATATACAGCATATACGTTTGAATCAATGACTTGTCTACTGACATCCCTGATAGGACTAACTAATTTATTACAAGCAGGAAATAAAAAAGTGTTTGCAAAATGTCTCCAGTTACAGCCAGGGATTTGAAGCCTAGATCAACTGGTTGGAGGAAGAGTTGTGTTACAAGAATACAGAGCAGGTGAAGATATGGGGTCATATGTGTTTGGTTGTCCGTCTCAAGGTTGAAAGCTTGTTAGGTCACTATCTCAAGTTTAAGCGTCAGGATGTGGACTTACAATATGTTTCAAAGCAAATAACACCGTCTCTCTAAAAGTCAGCTCTTTCCTCTTCTGATAATGACAGCCGGTATAGAATTGCAGCATTTTTGTCTCGTTAAAAATACATTTGTGCAAATGGGAAAATGCTATCTGGGTCACAGTGATACCAAGGAAAAAGTTTGTGTGAGGCAAAACAAAATTGCATTTCATGTTTTTTCTTCATTGAGCTGGAACAGCTTGTTGAGGAGGACAAATAATGAGATAACTTATCTTTAGAAACCTCCAATTACAGAATGTTTCCCACCAAAGTAATCATGCCTTTTGGCATTGCATGAACTCAATAGAAGTAACATTGCCGCACGTTTCTCAGGTGTCTTTATGTTAATCTGGTTTGTTTGCAGAGTGTTGCTGTAACGTGACTCTCCATACCACCGCAGGCCTATTGTTTTATTCATATAAGGAGCAGGTTAAAGGTAAAGATATCCTGTGACAGATAAGAGATAATAATACAGGTCTACACAGAAAATAGGCGAACTCATTACATGTCCTGACATGATGTAAACTTAATGGCAGTAATCTCATGTTTTCAGGCATCTTTTATGTTAAAGGGGTTTATTTGAATAACGGAACTGAAATGTGACTCTGTACCTGATCAGTCCGGTTGTTATATTCACAGGAGTAGGTTAAAGGTATAGGAACAAGAGCCTATGCGAGCTTATAAGGTTACAAGAAACCAGTTCTGTATAGAAAATAAACAGTGAATACTATTTGTTTTTTAAATATCTGTAAGGAAAACTGTTAAGAATAACCCCGGAAGCCTTAATTATGCCTTAAAATATAAGTTCATGATTAGATTAAAATGATATTGTAAGTGACATCGTACTTAAACATGTTTTAATGTCAGATTAAACTGATAAGGATGGTACAATAAAATGACCGCTGGTAACAGTCTTTAAAAACAGTCACTGTACAGGTCAGTAGGCGCAAAAAAGTATTTCTGCCTTTAATTTGAAACACTATGACACATTCACATAATCTATAAAGGTGTAATGTGTCTCGCCTTACCTCTCATAGTTTCATCATAATAACAGCTAAAGATTTGTAAAAGAGAGGTACGCACACATGAGAGTAGTATAGCAGCAGTAATTGCACACTGTGCAAATTGCAGTTAACAAGTTATTTAATCAAAAGGTAGAAGCTCTAGGAATTCTGGTTTCATGGAGAGAATTCCCCTAAAGTCACTAATGAAAGAGCAGAGTTAAAGACAAATCAATGTGCCGATCCTGATATAATCAACAACTATTTTGATGATTTCTGTATTTTTTACAGGATTTTATTTCTGAGATTGTGCTTCTATCTTCGATTTTTTTATTGACTAAACATGTTTAATTGATCCTAACAATCAGCAAATCAACCACAAAGGAAACTAATTATTATTTACAATACAGCTGATGACATTGGACATTTGTTTTTTAGTAGGTGGTGAAACTGAACAGTGTTCAATGTTGTTTTCTTTTTCATTTGACTTCAAGAACACATATGTATTTATTATCATTAGGTGATTGACAGTGGTGTCACTTTGTTTTGAAAAGTGGTAGGGAAAAAATGTCAGATATGTTTTTTTAAGCCTTCCATTTGTTATCAACACCTGTAAACACAGGATTTACAAAGTCAGGCCACAGCCTAAACATACCCTTCCAGACAATATCAACCCCTGAAGGCCTAGATATTCATAAAGGATTTACACTGACAGGCTACAGGCTGTCATTACAACCTTAAGGACAATATCAATCAACACCTGTGTAAAGGGTTGATTGCAAATATAATGCAATCTACAGTAGGCTTTCTGAATGGCATATCACACACATCCAACAGTTCTCTGATTCAAATTCTTCAATCTTCACCACCATCCCTCTATGTTTGATATTCTATTCAAAGATAACTAATATTAGATGTTTCACTGTCCAAGTTGCACCACTTGGCCCCCAAAAAGTACACCCACCAAGTGTGATCACACGAACTGTTCTCTAGATTGTACCTGTTCTCTTGTGAAAATAAACCTTTATGAACGTGTTCTTATCTATTACATTGTTTACAAAACACATTTTTTAAAGTATTGGGAACAAAATTGGTCATTCAACAAGTAGTGGGGACATGTTCCCAGCGTTACACCTATGTTGATTGGTATCTATGTAAGTTTCAAAATGTAGTCAAATGTAACTGCAGTGTACTGTTGGGTCAGGACAGTGAACTCTTGTTGCTAACGAACACTCACCGTCTCTTAGATACTGTTGCCGTGCAGAGCGTTCTCGGACAGCGCGAGCCCACTTCTCCGCCTCCTCCAGGTTAGCGCGAGGGTCCTGGAGACCCGTGAGACGAAAACACTGCTCCGCTCTCTGCCTCGACACACCGGAACTCATCCAGCGCCGTTTGAGCGGGTAGAAGAATATCGTCAGGTAAGCTGCCGGGTCTGCGGTGTCATCCCCCAGGTACGCCCGGCAACCGATGCAGTCCTTCAGGCTGAGCACCACCTTGTTCCTCCCGACAGGAGCCGAGCTGTGCCTCTGGACGATGAGGTCCTTCTCGGTCAGGCTCACCGCACACCTGACTTTTCGGTTAGCGGTCAACGTGAATTCCCCGTACAGCGACAACGGACCGGTGTTCCGGCCGTGTTCAACCCTCCTCTGGTCCATCCTGAGCGGACGGTGAAGATGCGGGGAGTCCGGGATCAAACAGCGGCCACTCTGTCACATAGCTAACCGCCTGGATGGTGCGAGCAAAGTAGGGAAACTGCGACTGACAGCCTGCTGCCCGGACCGGTGTCAAGAGTTACGGAATCAAACACACCCACATCCGGTTAAAAAATAAGACACAAACTCAAGTCTTTTGTTCCAACTGTGTTTTGCTGCCTATGTATTTTTGGGGTCCAAGCCAGCCACAGCCTTTATAGGGTTTATTTTGCACTTTATTAAAAATGTATTTCCATTTCTCCCACTTTCTCTGTAATATGTTCATTTTCATGTAAGAGAGAGGTTGCCCATGCCATGATTAAGAAAAAAACCAGCAGTAAGCTACTGAGTCTTAATCTTTTTTGTATCAGAAGATACATTCATTATCATTTGTGTTTAACCATTTACATTTTGGCCACATATTTACTCCAATCCTACTGTCATAACCCACTGAAAATCCCAGAAGAAATGCAGGCTTTTGTTTTTATGACAATAACAGTCTGTTTTCTCTGGGTTGTTGTGGGTGTCTCGTGCTGGCTTGACGCATGCTCTGCTGCAGTTTAAACTTTACTGTCTGTAGTTCAGCCCGTTAAAAACAGTCCGTCTGCTGCCCTCTAGTGGTACACTAAGGCAAATACCAGATTATAAGATTTTAATAACAACAATAACAGTGAGATTTGCTAATGAAGACCTTTGATTTCTCGCTCCCTCCAACAATGTGTATTAAATAATTATTCAAGAAAATACCAGAAGTAAGAAATCAAAAAGACTCTAATTTCACACTTAAAATGGGGCAGAAGTTAAATACATTACATAGAATCGGAGGGATGAAACTCCTCTTTACTCTTAATGGTCACACATGCAGAGCACACAGAGTGTTCCTATGGACAGTGGACAAAAATATAGGCAGAATGTAAACAACAATGTAGATAGGTGTATGCATACATTGTTATGTTTGTATATATATAGCATATATGTATCGACTATATATTTACGTCTAGTTAGTATACGTTTTTGAGCAAAAGAAAGTGTGATTAATAAATGTGCATTTCATCTTTCAGTGAAAGTTTGTACATAAATGTCTACATAAAGATCAATGCAGATGTACATCGCATTGATTGATTGGGCAAGGTCATATTTGCAGAGGTGGCTCTTATTATGGTATGGTAATTATTTCAGTTCAGCTCATCTTTGTTGCTTTAGATGGGGATGATGATGATAAATGTGGGAGCGACTGTGGATGAGAAAAGAAGAAATATCAACTCCAGAGAACGAATGCATTTAAATCCCAAATTCCATAAATAGTGATCAGTGGTGGAATTGGAGTTGTAAAGTAGGTTTATATCACAGTGTTGAGTAGTTCCATGTACAGTAATGCCACTTTATACTCCTACTTATTCTATAATATAATATTAATTAACATAATTAACTAAATTCATCTAGTAGCTTCTGGTGACTTTGCAGATTCAGATTTAAAAATGTAAAATATACATTGCTGTCGTTATTTATTAAACTTCCCAACAGCAGTGAATAGTTCAAAGAAGCTAAACTAACCAAGTATATTTTGCTGACAATAGTTATTTGTCTCTCTTTCTTTGAATGCAGGACTTTATTTGTAATGGAGAATTAGTCCATTAAGGGTAGGTAAGAATGGAGAAACCAGCTCGAGTGCGCTAGAATCTGAAAGTACACAACCGGAAAAAAATCAGAGCTTCCTTACAGAGCCCCTCCTCCAATATAACATAACACAGACGCACATGACCAATGGGGACACGAGATAAGTTTTGTGCACAGATGGAAGGCTGACAGGCAGATAGAATTAGAATATAATTAGGAGGGATGAAACCCTCTTCAATGGTCACACATGCAGAGCACACAATGAAATGTAGCCACTGCGGTCGGGGACTTGAACCGGCGACCCTACGGCTCACAGTCCAAGCCCCCCCACTGCCAGAGGTAGGCCGTCCTGTTATTTAACCGGGCCGGCTAAAATAACTGGTCGTGCTTTTTACAGCGCCACGGCTTCCACAGATGACATTTTTTTATGTAGGCCCAGTGTTTCCCCTACCATTCTCTTGGAGAGGCGATGCTCAGGCAGCACCTCCCCAAAGCAGTAAACCTGGAGAAACACTGAGGCCTATTTATTGTCAAAGCATTTCATGTATTCATTGCTATCGGGATGAGCATTCCATGGAATATAACAACAAATGTTTCTGAAGTGAATTACCTACCCCACTTTAAGGCAATGCTACTTTAAAAATAAATAAACTGTATATGCACCATCACTTCTATACCACCATAAAGTACAAATAATAAATATATCCTGATTTATAATCCAGATGACCTTAATAAATGAACATGTGTATAGACTGTTATTATATTACATTTACTTTGTTCTGATGTGTTTGTCTCTTCATCTTCAAACTTTCTCTGCAATGGATTCACTTTTATAACTAAAGTGGAGTTTCACACATTTTGCACAAGTCCAGTATAAAGCAGTTACTTTACTCAAACAACAGATGGCAATGTTGGATTCAGAAAGAGGCAGCAGATAGTCACCATGACACAATGCATTAGCAAGCAAAACAGTAACAAGTGAAGTGGTGACTGAGCTGCACTGCACTTTAAACAAATAAGATATATGGTGTTTATACAAAGCAGAAGTGTAATGTAAATAGTACTGGTACACTTTGTACACTTGTATAGGGTTAACTTGCACACAGTATGATAAACAATATATATGTATTTAATTTCAAAAGGGATATACAATCATGAAAATATATAGGCTTTTAATGTTCTGTTTACAATGATTACACAACATGAAGACATGAGACATGGAAAACCCATTACGAAAACAAAGTGGTTTAGGATTAGATTAGTTTTGATGATCAGTAAAACACCGCCATGCATGTTTTTAAAGTTGATACTATAGCTAGTTCCCTGGGTTTGAATTATTCTCCAATAAAGCATGATGTTCATTTATTCCAATATGGTCCCATTCTGAGTGAAATAGATGATAAATGCTTGAGGTATGCTTTAGGGCGGGGCTACCTTGTGATTGACAGGCCGCTATAACATAATTGTCCATTCCGGCTGCTCTCTGTCTTTTCGTCTAACAACTTTAACCCTTTCCCAGAGTGTTTTTAGTTATTCAAAGTTGTATTTATTGTTACATTTTGGTTGCCTAAAAAACTTTTTTTTGTGTTTGGTTGTAGCTCTATCCTGAACTTTCATTCCTGGTTGCAAAAAAACAAAATAGCAACAATAAAATGCCTAATTTGATGCTTTAAAGCCTCACTTTTCCAATGGGTGATGTGACGTTTACCACTTCCAATTCTTATATACAGTCCTTTGGAGATATTCAGTGAATTTCCCAAAAGCTGTATTGAAAATCACTGACTTCGCCTTTAATTCCATTTGACTATTTGAGCTGTTATTGTGTCTCAGCTTTACATTATTTTTCACAATGCAACCATACTGCCATATTTTGTCATCAGTGCCACTATAAAACCCATTACTGGCAACATGCTTCATCTTCATCACTGCTGCAGAGATGCATCTTGGGAGTAAATTGCTTTGTGAAAATATAATAAAGAAGTTGTCTGACTTCTCCTTGGTCAAATCAAAGTCATTCTTGCGTTCTTGTTGAGCCCCAGGCACACGCTCCTCAGAGAGCGAGATGGGGGAGTGGGAGAAGAAGTAGGAGGAGGAGGTGGGCATATATGCAGATGGGAATTAATGGTTCCAGTAAACACCTGGAGCCAGAGGGGAAACTATGATCTTATTCACATGCAAGTCTTGTGCTGCTAAAACGCACTGCTTTTCAACCACTTCACACCAGAAGATAGGTAGGCATCACCTTAATTCCTACTTTAACTGTGAATGCAGCTTTCCAGGCTTCACTTTCAACATGAACACATTATGTAATGTGCTGCAACGGGGAGAACTCTGAAAAACATGCATTTTTCTTCAGCATGAGATCATTATACACACTATGGGCTTCACAACAAAAGAGGCCTTTCATTTCAAACTGCAGGGAAGACGCTGATTTCCTCAAAGCTATTGATTGGAAATGGCACAGCTGAGGAGCGGGAGAGGAGCCATGAATGGAGACAGTACATTCTCACTTCCACCGAGCTCCAGCTGTGCACTCTATTGCTGCCTGGTCTTGAAGGGGGGGAAGAGGGCCGTCCCTGCATGCATATGGGGTTTTTCATGAGATTTAACACACTTTGCTGTCACTCCCCATATGTGCTTATATAGTTTCCTTTCAAAAGGGCGATAAAAACAACCATGTTATCACTGCTTACTTTCTGCACACATGCCCCAGTTTGCACTAATTGCAATCAACTGGCATTCCTCGCCATCTGCTGAACATCAGACCATCGACACACACTTAATAACTGATAAGCAGCCACTATCTGTTGTTAGGGCAATGAAGCAGATGTCAACTCAGTGAATATCAATACAGTCAATACATTAACGTAATTATTGCTTAAATAACATACACTGAGCCTGCCTCTTTCACACACACACACACACACACACACACACACACACACACACACACACACACACACACACACACACACACACACACACTGAGGGATAACTGAGTGGGAGGCAGGAATGTCATATACCTCAGCATTTAGTTAGCATTAGCATCCGACATGACAGATTCCCCGTCTGGGTCGCTTAGCACTGATGTCTTGCAGAAAGGGATCGCCTGTCTGCCCGGCTCTCCTTCACTTGCCCCTTAATTCTGCTCTGTTTCTTCAGATGCCCCCCCCCTTTTGTCAAAGCGCTGCCATAATTATATAAGACTTATGCAAACCTGTCTCTCGCTGGCAAACAATGAAACATGTAGAGCTCTGAGATGACGGGGATAACCACGAGAAATATGCAGCCACTTATTGTGAAATATGTATAATTGAAAACTGATTGATTCTGGGAGGAGAATCATCATTTTGGATAATTTAAATCAAAATCATTCTCCTCCTCTAGCTACTGTGAAAACTGCAAAATAATATTTTTAGAAAGTACTATAATTTTTTTTACAAACCCAAAGCAACTTTTCATAAACTCAGTTTATATTTACACAACTCAGAAGAGATCAATGACCGATGTATGTCACACTGTATATAAGTACACAGGTT